TTTTCTAAGTAGTGTATGATTTTTGGTCCTGCAGGTTGGATGAAGATGGTAAGGTGTTGACTCCAGAGGAGCTTCTCTACAGGGTAAGTCCTTGACCCCTTGACGAATTTTCCTTGTTTTTGTCCACCTGCTTACACCTGTATACATGGGTCCCTACATGTAGTTTGATTGGTCTAGCACCTCCTGTCTAAAGGTGCATGTATTAAAGAAAATTGTCTGCGCATATGAATATTAACTCCTTTTGTAGGTCAGGCCATCACTTTTGCCTTGTCTGACTTGCTGTAGTTACTGTACATCTACGCTCAGTAAAGTTTAGAGAAGTGTTCAGAATTTTATGACCTACTCTGTAATACAATGTGTACATTTACATCTCTATTGCAGGCCGTGCAGTCTGTGAATATGACCCATGACACAGCTCATGCCTGTATGGACGTGAAGGTATCCTCTCTGTACCAGCCCTCTGTCACCTCCCAAATACATACCAACCAGAAAACAACACATTAACAATAACATCATTGGCATCAACTTACGTTCCATATAACAATGCCTTCATCATGCCTTACCAAAGGCATATATAACTGTTATTATAATATTATTGGCTAGAGATATCAAAGCCCTCGCCATCCTGTAACACAGCAAAATTTACAGTAGTTGTCTTGGCTGCTTGTTTGTCTGAGTTGTAGTGTAGTTTCTAACTGAATGCACCATTGATGACATGTTGAATGTTTCTCCCCACTGACCACATCATGTCATGTCTTGTCCTGCCTCACCAGTTTAGATCATGGATCTGCTATGGACTAAAGTAAGTAGACATAGAATTAGACTTAATGCTTCTGATATATGTGAAGCTTGCATGATTTGTTTTGAAAGTCTAACTACTGGCTATTGAGAAACCAAATACCATAGAATGATCAGCAGATCTAGGTTTGAATTTCTGCAAATGAAATGCAAATGTCATCCTCACTATTATACTAGCACTACCAGTAGATGTTTATACAATAGTGTTTGATTTACCTATTGATTAAAGTCCTGTGTATAGACATTGTATCTTCCAATCTCAGAATGTAAATACATGTAACTCATCTCACATGATATTAATGCAGTGCAATTAATCTATGTCAATGTTCTTATGCTCAACATTGTGCTGCCAGCAAATCCACAGTGTCTGTAGCCTTAGTATAATTAATCCCTGACTTATGCCAAGTCTATGATGAAAGAGTAATTTCTGCCAGGTAATGTTCAATTCTCCTGCCAGGAGACTTATAAAGATAAGCTTCTTCAAGTTTTGACCTTTTGGTAATGATGTGTTTGTTTGTGCCTGGCAGTGAGCAGGTGCTGCACCTGTGGTTGGAGGCGCTGTGCTCCTGTGACCCTGCTGTGGAGAAGTGGTACCACAGCTGGTCCTTCCTACGCAGCCCGGGATGGGTGCAGATCAAGTGTGAGCTCAGGTCAGAACTTACAACCTGCCTGTAGGGCTTGGGTTCTGTTACAAGGTTGAAGCTCCTAAAAATGGGAAGGTTTCGACATTTTAAGCTGTATCCCTTTGAACAATATGGTCATGATTTTCTGAAGGCAACGGAGACTTTTCTTTCTTTCAACTTGGAAAAACAAGTCATGATCATGACTCTAGCAGTAGTTAGAATGATGAGAGATCAAATCAAACTTATGCTTGTCTTAAACACTCTTCCCCACAAATGCACGAGTCAGAGTCCATTGGTTACTTTTGGTCATGACTGACAGCTTTGGTGTTGATTTTTAGACAACCACCACAAATAGTTATTTCACTTTCCACTTTGACTTGTTGAGGCAATACCCTCCACAGGATGCAAGTCACAAAGGAAGCTGACGACAATACAAACTCAAGTAATTTCTGCATTGTTGACGAATGCTGTTTTGCACCCAATGGCCAGCTTTGTGGTCAGTATTGGCCCAAACTGCCAAGGTGAGTGTCTGGTTATCAGACACAAATATCACTCTAGTACATGTATTACAAAATCCTGTTGACCCACATTTTGGAAAACTTCACCATTGTCAAGTGATCATCCCTTGGTGAAGTGCTCAACAGAAGCAGACTAAGAATGCAAAGATTGCCTGTGTCATTTAAATGGTATGTTTTCAGTTCTTCCCAGTCTGGATATCTTTAACCCAATCATGTCTGGACAACCTTTGAAGCACTTCTAAGGGAATGTTTACTTCACAAGAGGTAGTCAACGGAACGATGAAGCCTGCTGAGGCACAACCAACATGACCCTGTCCTCATGTCCACTGCACTGAAAGCATAAAACATTTTTTGGTCAAGACCACGTGAAATCTGGAGCTGTAAAAACCATTACATTCAGTTTAAAACCTGCCTGTGTGTTGTGTTCAACTTTAGAAATTCAATTCCATAGTCCATGCTCTTTTTGTGTGCTATTTAGAGACCTAAGCCTCAAATTTCCGGTCTTAAATGCATTTAGTCAGTTTACCTCTGAACCGTGCTGGTGACACAAAAAACACTATGACAGCTATCAAAAGTTCAATGACTTGTTCAATCCTTGTTTTCGTGGCTTGTTGTATTGACTCAACATAATCCCCCCTGATGATCCTTTCTTGGTGTAATCACAACCAGCAAGCTGATGTATTGTGTTCTGACTGTTCCTCACCCCAGGTCTTAGTCATGGTGTGTTAGTGTGGTGGCCAGTCTTTGTCCCTCTGAACTTTAAGAAGCCAAAAGCATTTGAGATGCAAGAGAAGGAAAGAGCATCTAAATTACTAGCTTGAAGGCTGCACAGTAGCTGACCTAATTCCTCTGCCTCCCCACCTGGCAATAATGGGGGCCTTTGCTAATCCATTTCAAGTGCCTTACATCTTTAAGATGGCTTAGCTGTCAACATCTTTGGGGCTTGCATCCACTTAAGTGTTCTGAAAGGAAAAGTCCACAAACAAAGAAATGCTGAGATTGGTTTCCAGTGAAGCTTGCAGGTTTTCTGTCTCAAGTGCAGTCACCTGCTACTGGATTTAAATGCTGAGAACATTTTAGCTTTGGATATGCCAGTGTTCAGGGTCAATGGGATAACAAAAAGCTCCAACTGAAACATTTCCTCTAAAGGTAGGTTGTCTCAGACAGATAACACAGATGGGTTGGGGGAAGGTAGGTTGTCTCAGACAGATAACACAGATGGGTTGGGGGAAGGTAGGTTGTCTCAGACAGATAACACAGATGGGTTAGGGGAAGCAGAGGCCCTACGTTCAGACATGTCAGATGTCCCTCAGTGCATGTTACTGATTGTAAACAACTTTCCCCTTAATTGTTAATTTTAGAGTTCAAGAAGAAGATGATCTAGGACAGAATATCTTATGAATTCAAAATGACACTGACTCAACTCAAATTTACTGAGTCATATTGGGCATTTTGGTCAGAAACCATGACACAGCAGAAATACCAAAGCCTAATATAAGGTAATCTTATATTCCAGCTTCTTTGCTTGTAGCTGTTTGGTCTATTGGGGCAGGACACCCCTGGGGTCAGATAAATCCAGCTACTTGTTTGATAATGTCAGAATAGGATGAAAGAATTAAAGAAATATGTGAATATTGAAAAATTGTTTTCTACATGTCCCCATGTAGTATCTCATTTGAAACGACCAAGTCTGGGAATTTTGCAGAAGCCAGTAAGGCATTGTCCTTAACTGTCTACATATCAAACTTTTAGCTCTAATGTCTGTGAGGCAGTTTTTTTTGTATTGCTCAGTGGCCTAGAAAACAGAGGAGATGGTACCTTAGACAGATGATTAAATTTATTTGGCCTGACCTAAATACTTGTGCATGCTTGCCTCCCCCTCACCATGTCTTCTACCTGAATGCATCACCAGCCACACACAACTCCAGACAAAAGAACCCTTTTGAATGTGCAAAGCCCAGAAGCCTTCTGTATTGGCTGATGGGCCAAGAGAAAAACACACAGATGGAGAAAACTTCCAGGTCAGGCAGGAGAATGTCAAGGAGGTCGGTGGGGTCGTCTGCTGTAAAGTTCAGATGTTGTCATCACAACAGCATCTGTAGGGATCGTCTGTTGACTTTTGCCCTCTTCTCTCTTGGTAGAACTTGACTTTTTAGATTGCATCAGCTGCAGGGAAACCAAAACAAGTTTTGACCTTTACAGTTTCAATTAAATCTGCAGTATTCACCGGCTACACCAAATAGAATGTAAGGTAATGGTAGCATCTAGAAAAGAGGGTGCTCAGGTGCTAAAGCGGAAAAATTGTTACTCTCCAAGTAGAGGTTGGTGGGTGAAGATTTGTGGCCTTTCTGTCATATGCCCCGGTTTCTGTCCCTGTCTTTCCGAGAGTACAAAATTGCATCCACTGAATATAAAGTTTAAATTAAAAACATCTTGAGTGAATACTGGAGCTGGTCTACAGCTTTATCCTGTGTCCACAGTCTCAGCTTTAGTTCCTAAGTAGGCAAGGAAGTAGCAACATACCTGTGAGCTTTATGAGATTAGCCCAGGAAAACCTACAAACCGTCAGACACATACGTAGCCTGAGGGTTTGAAGCTGTTGTGTCAGAAGGAAGGTGTTGGGTTGTAGCTCATTGATAAGACCTGCACAAAATGTTACCTGATTTCCTGTTGTTGTACATGATACATAATACATTTTTTTTATGAACACCAGCACCCTGCTCAAAAGTAGTCATGTCAAAGGATGAAGGACATGCTGGACGTTAATATGATTTTTCATGTGAAGCTGCTGCCAATGGAACTACAGAGCTGTTGTTGCTATTTATTCATGATTTTCCAACTTGCATTAAACTTGTGGATGTCCTAGATGTACAACCATTTGGTTTGTTTTTCCTTTCTGCAGACTTCTGTCCAAGTTCTCCTTCAACCTGTCTCAGGACTGGGAGTTGCCCAACAAGAAGGAGGCAGCTCCTACTGTAAGTGTCAGCTCTGTAGTGGGGCAGACCATTGGCTCTTGGGGGTGTTCATACTACAGCTTGGCAGTTATGGGGAAACAAAATGGTTGGACCAATCAAAGAATTCATCAGGAGTGTTAAGTCTCATTGACCAGCAGTTTAATTCAGGATATAATTTTTTTCTCAAAGAAGCATTTAATTTAGCTCACCTTTCTATAAGTAATGGCTGTTAAACATGTATGTAATCCTAAGAATAAAAGGTGCCCAGAGGAAACTTCCCTAATGTGAGGATGTAACAGGTGGTTTCTCATAAGAGCTGCCACCACAGGGATCCTCCATGGTAGTATCTGTCCTAAAGTTTTAGACTGACGAGTTTGTGTTTCACACTTGAAGCCACCTGGTCAGATTGATAGAATCTGTAGCCTGCATGCCCTATCTATACCTTTCCTCCACTAACGCGATCCAAAGATGCATAAAGAGAAAGGCACACAGCCTAATGTATTGTTTAAACCTACAACCACCCAGCAGTCAATAGGTCTGCTCTATTGATACATTGTAGATGTATTTTTATAAGGCTGTAAGGTGTAAGTTGTATTGGAACGAGCTAACTTTTCCACAGCTGTTGTTTGTACCCCTTCATAGCCATTCTTATCATAACCCATTGTCAATGAAAATGCCTTTAAAGTTTGCTGGGTAAAGGATTGTTTAAAGATGAAAAGGTTGAGTAGAAATTGTTGTCGCATCATGATGCCTTTGGTCTGTTTCAGAAATATGGGGAAGAACATCAGATCCAAGTAAGACCAAAGGATAAGTCTGTGTTTGCCCATCTAACTGTCATGTCCAGTGTTCTGTTTTGTAGCAAACTAACCCATAATTGTTCCAACAAAAGTGCTGTAGTCCTGTTATATCAACCCCTTGTATGTTTGAGTAGCAGCTGTGTCTATGTGATGATGACCAAACACTGAGCTTGAATGATGTGAATGTATCATAATACTGTTGATTTCTTTTCAGAAATATGGAGAGGTGACTCAGAACCAAGTAAGGCCTCCTGCTTACAGCTAGATGTGCACAGTTATATATTGTCATCCATCCCTGCACTGTATCACATAACAAACTAACGGCTCGGTCAATAGTATCTTACATAATAGTCTCTATTTTGTACGTCTTAGGTGTTGTAACAGAGTGAGGTGATGACGTTCGCTGATGACGCATTTGTGTAGTAATATTCGTGCGTAGCCGTGTGTGATTTCATGTGTCAGTCTCCATGCTTTTATGTGGCTTCGAAGCCAAGATTGGTTACATCAAGGGTGCGCCTGCCATGTTTGTTGTCAGTCATTTTGAGGTACATTTTGGCAACACCAATGGACCCCCAAGAGAGTCCCCCCAAGAAGGCGTGGATGCTTGCGTCTATCCCATTAGATTGTCAGTCATGCATCCAGGGGGTCTGCTGTGTTTATTTCAGTTAATGAAACATGCTGCTGTTGATTTTAAATGTCCCACAGAGATGAGCATAAAAATGCCTTTTGCTGTTATTTGAAATTACCCAACTGTGCCTAGCTTTGAAGGTACATTGTGCAGGGCTATTGATAAAGAAATTACATGTTTGAAAATCCAATTTGACAAAAGGACCAGCCCAACAAAAAAAAGCATACTGACACTGACAGGGATGTTCATATTATCCTTTCCAGACTAAATGATTGTCTTTACCATCTGCTCAGCTATCATTGTAATTTCTGTCATTTTCTCTCTCTGCAAATTGCACTATCCTATTGCAACTCCCTACAGGATTGTTGGTGTAGGGTACCTCATAAGTCTCATATTCTGGAATTTCTAGTAACCAGTAACACCAGGTTGACCATACTTATGATCAGCATCAGCTCAACTACAGCTGTTCTGTCACATCCTGTGTTTGGAACAAGCCAACTGGTGACTGCAACCAAGTACACTAACTCCAAACTTTAACAACATGAGGCATAAGGTTCACCACACATTGGAGGACGGCCCTTCCTCTCTCGAAACGGAAACAGATCAGCATTAAAACCTGTGTCTTGTATTCCTGTTTTAATTGTGTTGTGTTGTGTTTGTTTAGCAGGTGTCCCAGCCTCTGAAGGAAGGTGTACGGGACATGCTGGTCAAGCATCATCTCTTTAGCTGGGAGTTGTGAGCAACTGATGTCATGCTTCCCATCATGCAACAGTCTACTGAATTCTAACCGCCCAACCAGGATCTGCTACTACAGATGAAGATTTCTTTATTTGCTTACTTCACAGTCACTGGTCCAAATATTCAAACTTTGTTAGCTTCAGTCTGCTTGAACAGTTACAACAGAACACAGTGTCTGACAGTGCATCTACAACATGTTGAAAACAGCACAGTGTGAAATCTTCCCAATTTAGGTAAAAGTTTGTTATGTAGAATAGTTTCCAGTTAGATCTCAACACAGGCTTCCTTTAGTTTACCTCAGGGCTTGCAGGACAGTTTAGGTTACATTGAAGCTTTGTACATAAGACTGTCTGTGCAGATGCCATATGATTGGCTGACAGTTGTGTCTTGAACAACTATCTGACCAACATTCTCACCAGTAGATGTTCCAAGGTATCACAGTATTCCATATTTGTGAGGTAGCTGGCTTGAAAGTATATGAATTCTGTATTATGGTGGTAACCTATATATATACATGTAGCTAAGTTGCTGTAAAATAAGTCAGTGTTATTGCTCTCTTTAGTGTCATGCCAAAGTTCCAGCTGTGCTTAGCTTCAGTTCCAAAATCAAACGATTTTGAATTCCAGCTGTAAAATAAGATTATTGTTTTATGAATAGCTGATGGAAAAGTGCATGCAAAGTACTGGTAACCACAGTATTTGTTCACCAACAACTATGCTTCCTCTGTAACTCAAGTCTAGGATGCTTGTTTTCCTACTAGAATAGGTAGTCTTATTAGATATCATTTGATCTATAGGTAGGATTTGACTCTTGTCATAGCTCAATTAGCTTCTAAGAATGTCCCTGAAAAATAACTTCTCCCTTGGCCAAAGAGATGTCACCATAGTCAGATATGACATGTAAAGCACTAGGTGTTTACTTCCTTTAGTTAACATTAAGAAGAATGTATGCAGCTTAGAAGCAGATGAAAATGTACATATTTGTATTTTCTGTTTCTCCTTTTTCTTCCTATATATGAAAGGACACCAGATGATCATGTGAAACAAACATGTAGAAATTGATTCTTGATTTTTTGCTGTCTTATGAATTCTATGTTATTCTGTATAGGTGACAGTGCAATGACCACTAATGAAGTTTTGCCAAAACCAATGAATGGAAGTGAAAACCATTCTTGCAATGTTAGAATAACAGTATTGCAAGGTATGTGCCTACTGGTTGATGGATATATAAAGGCTATGAATGTACAACGGTGACTGAGATAATTTTCAGACAGCAGAATGTATATTTTGAATTGTAAGAAGCCTATTATATGCTGCAATAGTAATATAATATACTCCAGAGATCTGTGTTATCCTAGCTCTTCCAACAGTGTTGTCTGCTGGGGTTCAGGAAAATAAAAAGTACAATGAGCTAGAGCAACATTTCTGTTTGAATCGTTTTTAAAGGAAAGCCCATTTGATGTAGTATAGACTTTGTGTCTACCACGACCATCAGTATAGATACTACTAACAGCCTGGTCCATCGTTTGTCAGAAGGGAAGCTACCGTAGTTATGTTTCCCCACCAACCTCCAACAGTATGGACTGAACTTATTGGCTATTTCTCTCGCATGTATGTATATATATATGTGTCTGATGCCTGCTGTACAAGTAACATCCACGTTTAGTGGAAACATGGATCCGTGCAGTGACAGTTTTGAACACAGACTTTTTGATCACTTCCAATACTCTCCCTGTGCCTGTCTGCTGTATGCCTCTGGCTCATAGCTGGGATTACTGTGGACTTCTCCAAAGTCTCCTGTGCTGTGATGTCACAGGAAGGTCTTAAGGTCTGTCTGTCAACAACCCTAAGTCCTATACATCTGTAATACCTGCTGCACAGATGTCCGACTCTTACTTTCGAACTTTGCACCAAGCAATTCCAATATGTATTCACTGTCATTGTTTACTAAGGTGATTTCGAAGTAGACTGGAAACTGTTCAAGCGGTGGTTAATTCCTGATTTCTTAAATTGTCAGGTTATTAGAGGCACAACTGATGGAAATAACAAAGTTTACTATCTTGGCAAGCTACAAGGGCTGTCACACATGCTTCAGATGAAAGGTTGTTAATTCCTTCCCATTGCAGCAGGAAAGAAAACTGAATTTTCAGTAGATTTTAGACTCATTATTGTTAATGTTAGAAAGGCTATACTTTTTGGGAACTCATCCAGTTTTATGTAAGACCAAAGCAAAGGAATGAAACTTAGTTGTTTTTATCGTAGACATATGAATGGCGTTTACCAGGCCTTAACATAGTACATACCTGCCCAAGAGGGCTGAGTATATCCGTAATTGGTACCTCCCCACAGATGTAGTGTGCCGGGTTATGGGAACTGGTGGGAGTAGCTGATGCAGGACCTTGACACTGACACTGTGACTATTTGTTTCTAAATCTGGCAGAATTGATTTTGAACAGTCTTAGCCTCGATGCTAGTACAACTACAAGAGTTACGCATTGCGTTTAAATCGTCCCAAAGCAGTGTTCGTAGACACTAGACTATATACATCCATTATGAATTCTTTGTTTTTATTGTTCTGGACCTTTACTTAGACTACTGAGATCACAGACATTGTAAGTTGGCGTGTAGCCACTACCTGTAGTGTACCTGGCACGCCGGGCGTGACAAGCAAGCCTTGTAGGAGAGGCTGGCAGGTGCCCCATGCTGAGTCTATGGAGGCTGGCATTATAATTCATAACTACTCTGAACTTAATAATGACTTGTGACAATTTTACAACTTCAGTTATTACAGGAGTAACTGGACCGACATGGATGACAAAATTTTTGCAAAGCACAAAATCCGATTCACCTATAATACAGTATCTCCCAGTCATCATCCGGGTTCTTCAGCAAATTACCCAAGGCCTGTAAAAAGGATGTCGACCAAGGTTAGCTCATGGGGTCTTCCAGGTTGACACAGCTAATACCTGACGGCGCTGTATGTTTTGACTCCGTCTATCGCTTGGCGGGTTATCCGAGGTCACTTCATTTGGGATGCCAAGATTTTGTAACGTTTGGCCGCTGAACCGGCAAAGCAGACATACTGGACAGGTGGTTAAGGACAGCTAGATTTCTTCATAAATTACGTCCGTTTCGCTTCTTCCATGAAATATCTGTTTTGCGCCTGTTCCTCACTTGTCCTTACGGAAAACGCTCGAGTCCATGCAAGTTCGAAAGTTTATGGTTGGTTTAAATCGTGTATTTATAATTCTCGTGGGAAAACGTTACTATCTATAAACGGCATTTCCGCTCCCCCCACCAGTCATCGATACCACAGATAGACCAGAGTCTGAAGGTGGTTATCCCAATCTCACGCCCTTCTGAACCCCACAACTTTTAAGGGAATCATTTGCGCTCGTTTTTCTTACACTTGACGCATTCCTTCAAGGTCATCCCTATTGTGGAGACAGTTTCTATGTTTGTAACAGGAGGTTACCTCGATTCTTCTGTTCGGGTGTTCCGTGTCTCTCATGACGCAACTCTGACTGTTGGACAATGTTCCCGGGTCGTCTATTCGAGATGACACCTGTCACCTACACCTGTTGTGTGGACATGTTATTTTTGGCCTGTACATCTGGTTGCTACCCGACATGCACCCCGGTACAAAGGGCTGATGTTTACTTGGGAACCTTGGCCACCCGCGGGACGGTATTTCTACCACTGTGGGAATATCGTGCCTGATTTAGGACATGGTGTTGAACTTCACTTCCTGTGTGGGAGGAAAGCTAACATGTCCGTGGGAAAAACTAACCATCAAGGGGTTTGAAGTTCCTCGGTAGTGTTAACTGTTGTGATGAAGCAAAGGGTCGTCTCTGGACGGAAAAACACCAAATTATTAAGTGACAACATCTTGCACATTCCTTTTATCATCTATTTATGTTTTTTGTTTTCTCTTGTGTCTTTCTTTCCTTTCTTTCTTTTATTTAATCTTTGTGAAGCAGTGATAAATGTCGGACAAGGGTTAGATGCGGAGTATGTATTGATTATGTACATTTGTATGTCAAGTATCAGTGTATTCTTCTACAGTAAGGTATTTTTCTTTTTTCTTTTAGCGGTTTTTATCGGTCTAAGATATTTGCATTTCACAGATAGAAAGGCACACTTCGCTATCCGGACCTACAGGTTGAACAATGGCTGTCCTCAGTCTCAGGGCCATTATTAAGATAGCTGAAATCTCTGGTGACAAGATAGTCCAGCATGTGTTACGTGGGTGGCGTGACTTGGAACCCGAGTTCACTAACAAGACATAACAGTTGTCGATAATGCTGTACTTGAACTTCAGGAAGAGCTAATATCCTTGAAATGCCGTGCAAGCACAGACACACAAATTATATCGGACGCCAGCTAGTCATTGTTCCAGATTACTACATTCGGCATCAAGGACTTGTAGTGTCCTCGCCTGGCGCTTGCCTTGTTTTCTTGCCAAGTTGTACCGACAATCTGTTGACATTGAACGATAGAAGCAACGTCCCAGATTCAATCCTTGACCTTGTGGTAGGCTGTCAAAGGTCAGGTTTGTTATCAAGAAGGAGCCAGTTTACTCTGGGAGGGGAGCCGCATTCCAGGGCTGGTGGTGACGTCACGGAAGGAAAGTCGTGTTCATTGTGTGTACCTCAGCCGCCAGTCGGAACACAGTTGTGGTGAAGGACAAGGGTTTGAAAACATGACCGTCTGTCGCTATCTGTGGCCTTGTTGTTTCCGTCCCGGAGAAGTGTGATGATGTGTTCTGATATCGTGACCGTGATATTCATTCTCTGTGTGGTAATGAGAGGAAGTGGGTGGGTATGTACATTACATGATATCATTTCGTGAACTTGAGAAAGCACGTGAAAGAGAGGAACAGCAACTCAAGTTCCCACATTAAGGTGGTCCAGAAGGATAGCTGAGGCATATTTAGAAATACTACGAACTCTATCTGATATGGTAGTCTTTTGGGTCTATTTTTATAATTTTCTTTCGTCTTGTCACTATGGCCACATTTTGGCCGCCAAATTGACCGCCAAATTGAGCATTTTTTTCACGCTCCAGCCAGGCCCCAGTGGGGGTGTGCACATTATTTTTAAAAGCTACTCCGCCGCTCGACCAATCAGGCTCGCTGGTCATTACGTAAACTGAGAGCTTCACTTTCATAATTTTTGGGAAGGGAAAAGACACTGGAAAAGAGAGTTTTACTGAGCGTTTGATGTCAGTTGTTTGCAAAACGTCTTGGGTAAAAACCTGCCAAATGCAAAGAATAATAATTTTCTGAAAACACAAGCCGTTTCCATTGTTTATCACACTTCGTATCGGCAAAATGTTGTCAAGTTGCAACACACAACCAGAGATATGCAGCCACACAAATCACCAAAAACGCCAGAAATAATCTGACAACTTCCTATATAAAAACATTCGACTGCCAAAAGAAACGAAGCTGTCTGCTTTGAGCCACAAGTTAGATCTTGGTTTAGTTATGAGCGGCCTGGCGGACCGGGTCACTGCATGCATAAAGAGCCGCGCTTGCTAGTTCATACTCGGCCGTCATTATGCGGCGTTATCCTTTGTGTTCTTTCATGATTTTCACAGACAACTCATTAAGTAATTTTCTACCGAATAAAAACGCGTCTCTACCTGTGCACTGTCTTATTGTTCTGAGTTTGTATCGACTGCAACACGTTTGTAACTACTAAACGTTAACGTTACGTTCTAGTGAACAGACATGATAAGAACTACTAGTAATTTTTATAAAATCTACGTTTTTATTAAAAAATACGATACTTACAAACTTCAGCAGAATTTTTACATAATCTTACGGTAACTGCTACCAATAATCTTTTACGATTTACAGCATACAGCAAATAGTAGCCGCTTACAAAAAAAATCAGTTCCAACAGATTTACAGAAATAGTCCGTACTTTTTAGATAGAACATAGAACGTCGTGCGTGAAAATTATTTCCACAAGTCTAGGACAACGTGCAACGTAAATTCACATAATCAACAAAATTATACTCGCTCATAATCCCATACCACGTCCGGGCAAGCTTTTTTTCCAGGGATATCTACTCCGGTATCGCGCGATAACTTTTTCAGTGTTGTGATCTTGCTGATCGTCAATCTCCTCTGGGGGTAGGCCTAAAAAACAAGTCCGTAACTCCAGAATACCCCGGCAGATTTTCTCCAATAAGGTCTCAGGATAGTCCATAAACCTTCATCTGCAAATCTACGTAGGATACGGCCGTGAAAAAGATCGTCTACCGGCCCAAATGCTGGCGCAAAGCGCACAGCTTTCTCCGCTCGTAAACAAGCCACGCCATCCGCCATTTTGGGTGAGTCACGTGACCCCTACTCGCGCGAAATCTTAGCGTTCTTTTTGGCTGTTCTTTTTACTGGACATATCCCCGGCC